AATGCTGCGCGCGGACCCCGGCCCCGAGCCCGACCCCGCCGCCCCGGCGCCCGCCCGCGCGGTGCTCGACTCCACCAACGCAGACGGCATCAGCGCCCTACACCAGGTCAGCGCCGTGCACCCCGGCCCGGGCCTAATCCAGCCCCGGGCTGCGCTAGCCTGAGCCACCGCCTTCCCCAACCCCGAGTCGTAGTTGCCAGTCTTGACCTCAACCATCTTTACTGGACCTGGGCTTTGCAAGCTAGGCTGCCCTCCTCCCCGCGCCCCCTTGGCCAACCTCGAGTTCCCCTTCTCCAATCCTGAGTCGGTTCCACTTGCCTTGGGTTTTGTTACCTTGCCTGCCCCCGCCCTGGACCTGATCCATTTCTGACGGCTTCAGTCTGGTCCTTGCCACTTCGCGCTGCACTCTTCCCCACTCTGAGCCCCGTTTACCAGCCTCGTCCTGTGCCACCTCTACCAGCCCTGGTCTTTGCCATCTAATGCTGGCACCGCTCTCCTGAGTCTCTGCTACTTACATTTTCCAGCTCTGCCTGTGCGATCTGTTCCAGCAATACGTATGCCATCATTGGGCTACAGTTTCTCCTTTCCGGGCATGTACTAGCCCTGGTGGCGCAAAGGTTCGAACCCACCCAGCTGCTCTATGGAAGAAAGAGCTGCGATCTGCTCCTGTGAAGATTACCGCCTAGGAAACCATATGAGTCAGTTCTCTTCTGTCATAGCGGGTCACTATGAGTCAAAATCAACTCCATGGCAGCTAACAACAACTACTTCTACTGCGCCGCATTCCCTTGTTTCCTGAGTCTGTGCTTCCCCTGTCCTCCCTCCTCTGGCCTGCGCCACTTTTTTGACTGAGCCCACGTCCTTCAGTGCTACCTCTTTCAGGTTCCCTGTTCCCTCCCACGCCTTCTCCTTTGGGTGGTGACATCTTTTGCTGCCTAAGGGCGCCCTTTCCTGATCCACTCCTTCTGGCCTAAAACCAAAACCAAATCTGTTGCTGTTGAGTTGATTCTGACTCATAGTGACCCTATAGGGTTTTCAAGGAGCAGCTAGTGGATTTGAACTGCAACCCATTGGTTAGCAGGTGAACTCTTATTAACCACTCTGCCAGCAGGGCTCCTTCTTGGGTCTAGTACCACCTTATTCCCTTGAAGCATCCTTCCCTTGTCTGGGTCACCTTATGCTTCCTGCCCCACCATAGCCCTAAATTCAGGTGGTTCCTCCTCCTTGCTTCCCACTTCTGGTCTCTCAGGAGTCTTTTTCCTGCTCCTTTCTCTTCCCCTCTCTTCCCTTCCCCTGGCGAGGCCTGCATCGTCACCTTTTTCCTGGGCAACATCAAAGCACCACCTCTTCCTGGCTTTGGGCCTCCTCTCTGCCCTCTGGTCATCTTGCTTTCTCTGTCCGGCCACCCTCTTCTTCTGTGGATGTGGGTCACCTCACGCCTTTTATGTGGACAGCATTTTCCCCTCCCAGAGACTGTGCAGTCTTTCCTAGCACCACCACTCCCCCCGTTCCCTACATCCTCTCATCTTGTCAGTTGCCGCCTAGTCAACATCGTCGATTCCAATTCATGGCAACCTCGTGTGTATCAGAGTAGAGCTGTGCTCCATAGGGTTTTCCATGGCTGGTTTTTTGGAAGTAGATTGCCAGGCCTTTCTTCTGAGGCACCTCTGGGTGGATTCAAATCTCCAACCTTTTGGTTAGCAGCTGGGCCTGTTAAGTGTTTACACCACTCAAGGACCCCTCCCATGGGTTCTAGAACCCTGTTTGCCCTCTCCTGCAACCTGGACCCCCATGCCCTCTTCAAGTCACCCTGGTTGTTTCTTCCAAGGTTCCTGTGTCCCAGGACCAAGGTCACCTCCTACCCCCAGGGTTCCCTCTGGTTCTGAGTCCTCCTCTCCCCTCCACCACCCTGATGGGGTCACTAGGGACAGGACTGGCCACAGAGGAGCCCCCCCCCCATCCCTGAGGCCTTCTTCCTAGTCTCCCCTTGTCGGTCCATCTGCCATCTGCTGCCAGGAAGCTTCCTTCTCTGATCACAAACCCCCCTTTCCCAGAGTCCCTCGCCGTCACCTCCTTGCCAGGATCCCTTGGGAAATGGAGTGCAGGTTACTAGTGGAGCCAAAAAGGACCTTGGGAGGGAAATCTTGCTGGGGTTAGATGCTGTGGGCGGGGGGTAGTGGAGGGAATGCTTGAAGAGGCCTAGTCTTCAGGTTCAAAGGAAGAGGAACAGTTTGGGAAACAGTCCTGAGTTCTGATCTGGACTCCTCAGCTTTGTGACCTCAAATCAGCATCTTTTCTCTTTGCCCTTCAGTTTTCTTCTCTGTAAAGTGGGACCAGTCTCAGTCCCTCCTTGGCAAGGGCTCTGCTGAAGGAGAGGGATCATTTGTGTGAAGAACTCCTTGCTGAAAGCCTGATGTATCATAGATGTTCAGCTGGGGGGTTGCTGCCACCTTGTCTAAGTGCTAAATGCTGTTGTCAGTTGTCATCAAGTTGATTCCAACTCATGATGACCCCATTTGTGCAGACTAGAACTGCTCCATAGGGTTTTCAAGACTGTGACCTTTCAGAAGCAGGTTGCCAGGCCTTTCTTCCGAGGCGTCTCTGGTTGGATTCAAACCACCAGCTTTTTGGTTAGTAGTCTAGTGCTTAACCATTTGCTCCACCCAGGGACTCCATGTCTAAATGCTCCCCAGTTTTTCTTTCCACGCGTCCAGTCCCATTCCTTGCACAGACCCCAGTGCTGTATGGGACATCGTTTTCCCCCCAGAGCAGGTTGCCCCTTCCCTAAGGCAGCCTCCCTGCATTGCAGAGTCCCTGAAGAGGGACCTCACACCACAGCATCCCTTTCCTGTATTGTCCTGTGCTCCTGACACTCTTGGGCCTTCCCTGAAGGGGTCCCTAGCTCTCGTCTTTAGACAGAGCTCCCTTCCCCCATGTCCCCTAGGGTCCCCCAGACCATGACCTTGACCTGGGCCCGGTCTTGCCTGTCAGGCTGCCTCTCTGGTGATAGTGATATTCACCTCCCACCATGATGCCTGCGCACTCACCTCCAGAGCTCCGTGGCAGGACTGGAGAGTTCAGGGCAGGCTGAGGCTTGGAGAGGGGATGTTCCACCTCAGGGGTAGCTGGGGTTTGTATCCGCCCTGGGTGTTGGGTGACCAGCTCACGCCGGGCTGCTGGGGACTGTCCCAGTTTTAGCACTGAGAGTCCAGGTCTCAGGCATGCTGGGATGGTTTGTTCCCCTAGCTGCGGTACTCCTGTGTCTCGGCTGATGTCTCCACACGGGAGAGGTCCCCAAGCGCCAGCCCCCTTCCCTGGCTTTGTTCCCTATTTGTTCTCAGGCTTCAGCCCCTACCTCAGATGGGTTCATGGACCACACGGCCAGGCTGATACACTCTTTCTCTGCCCCAAATGGTTTTGTACACTAAGGCTAAGGGTCTGGGTCCTGGGGATGAGGGGGCTGGGACCCGGACTCCTGGGTCTGAGGGGAAAGAGGGCTAGGGGCTCAGATTCCTGGGTCTGAGGGAGGACGGGCTGGGGACCTGGACTTTTGGGTCTGAGGGGGAAGGTGGCTGGGGGCCAGACTCCTGGGTTTGATGGAGGAGGGGGCCAGGGGCCTGGACTCCTAGGTCTGAGGTGGGGGAGGGGCAGGGCCCCTGGGTTTTGGGATCCCTGGTGCCCAGACCTCAGGCATCTTTCACATGGATTCCTGTGCTGGGCCAGGTCCTTGAAAGGGAAAAGCCCATCTCCCTCCTTGCCCCCCCTCCCCCCTTGCCATGACAACCGGGTAGAAATAAACGGAGCCCAGAGTTCATCCCGTTCCCAGGGCACGTGTGGCTTCCCTTTCACAGCCTGAGTTTCCATGACTTCATGCTCTTGGCCCTCGTAGCTTTCTCCCCTCTTTACCAGATGGGAGGCTTTGGAGAGGTGAGGGATTTAGGGGGTTAATATATCCTGAGGACCCAGGAGTCCCAGCCCCCAGCCTCTTCCTTCCTCACACCCAGGAATTTGGGCTCCCATCTCTCCTTCCTCAAGCCCAGGATTCACACCAGGTCCCTACCATATCCTTTATAAACAGGGGGCCTGAGAACCCCTTCTGCTGTCCTCTCCCTGACCTGGTCCAGGGCAACACACCCCTGCAGATAATTCTCAGTAACAGCTTGTGCCCCTACCTTTTACCCTGAGGGAGGGACTGGGCTGCACCTCTGAGGAACAGGACTGTGCAGGGCTGGTAAGCAGTCACTGGCCCGTGGAATGTGGGACAGGATGAGAGTACTGGGCAGACCTCCTAAGAGAGGAGACAGCTGCCTCATGGTGTACCTAGGGCCTGGGCAAACACAATTATCCAGGACCTACCATGTGCAGGGCACTGTGCCAAAAGCCTCCCATGGACCATCTTCCTAACCCTCCCACTGCGGGAAGAATTGGGAATGCAGGGACTAAAGCACTTGCCCAAGTTAGCATAGTCAGGGAGGGATTCAAACCCAGGGCCCGTGTGCAAACACTGGGTGGACACTGGGCCTTGAACTGGGCCCGAGGGAGGAGGGGCTGGGGTTCAGGACTCCTAGGTCTGAGGGGTGGAGCACTGTGGAGCCCCTTCCCTTTGGCTAAACACAAGGGTACCTGCCCTGTAGGTGGTGACTGTGGAGTGTGTTGAGTGCAACCAGCCCCTGTCAGGATTCTTGCATCTGGAAGGGAAACCCCCATCTCTCCATGGGCAAGTCCAATTTGTAGGCAGCTGGGAAGCCTTCTGTGTGGGTATGGTATCCACTGGGCCCTGGATGCTGGTGGACCTAACCATGGGGAAGCAAGGGTGTCCTGAGGACAAACAGCCAGGGCCACTGGAATCTTTTTCCTTGACTTGACCTCTGTGTCCCCATGTTCCTTGGATCTGTTTCGTTGGTGGCTGTGCCATGTCTGGGCAGAGGTAATGGAGATAAGAGCTGACCGCTCTCCCTGGCCCTCCCCTCCCCAGGCTTGCATAGATGAGAATCTGGAGGTGGTGCGCTTCCTGGTGGAGCAGGGTGCCACTGTGAACCAGGCGGACAACGAGGGCTGGACACCCCTGCACGTGGCTGCCTCCTGTGGGTACCTAGACATCGCCAGGTGAGGCTAAGGGTGGCGGGCGGGGCCAGCACAGCAGCGGGGGCCTGGCCCTGTCAGCCCTGACCTCCCCACCCCCACCCCCAGGTACCTCCTGAGCCATGGGGCCAACATCGCCGCCGTCAACAGCGACGGGGACCTGCCCTTGGACCTGGCTGAGTCAGACGCCATGGAGGGGCTGCTGAAGGCGGAGATCGCCCACCGAGGTGGGCCTCTGCATGTTGCCTGCAGGGCAGTGGTGCCCCTTCTCTCTGTGTTTCAGGAATGTTCCCTGGGGCCTTGAATCAAGAGCTTTGGAATCAGACTGCTGGGGCTCAAAGGCCAACCCCTCTAATTCCTAGGAGTGTGAGTGCTCTGTGTCTCAGTTTCCTCACCTGTGAAATGGGCACATGTACCAGTTTCCTAGGGCTGCTGTAACAAAGTACCACATGCTGCGTAGCTTAGAACGGCAGAGATGTGTTAGCTCACAGTTCTGGGAGGCTAGAAGTCCAAATCAGGGTATCAGCCACGTTGATTCCTTCTGAGAATTCCATGCCTCTCTTCTAGCTTCTGGTGATGGCTGGTGATCCTTGGCGTTCCTTGGCTTGTAGATCATTCCAATGTGTGGCTGTCTTCTCTGTGTCTCTATCTCTGTGTCTCTTCTCATTTGTAAGGACACCACTCATATTGGATTAGGATCCACGCTACTCCAGTATGAGCTCATGTTAACTGATAACATCTTCAAAGACCTTATTCCAAACAAGGTCATGTTCACAGGTACCAGGCGTTAGGGTGGCTTTAACCTGTCTTTTTTTGGAACACGATTTGGCCCATAACGGTGTAAGCACCTACCTCTGAAGTTGCTTGGAACGTGAAATGAGTCATCATCTAAAGTGCTTGAGCCACTGCCGGACACAACAAGAGGTCATACTGATATTCAATGAAATTGTTATTTTACCCCCTGAGTAACTGAGGAAGTGGAGGCCCAGAGAGGAGGGGGGCTTGTCCAGGAGTCTGTGAGATGAGATTACAGGGGCCCCACCGCAGGCCTTTTCAGGAGACGGTGTGTCTGTTGTTGGGGGAGTTGAGGGATGCAGGTGGCTTCTGGGGGACTGGTCCCCCCTTGTGCCCTGGGGGTCATGATACCTCAGGGTCTCTAAATATTGGGTCCACGAACCCCCTGAAACTGTTTCTGGCCATGTTCATTTTCTTAGGGGGAGGGACGTGTTGCTTCCAGTAGGTTCTCAAAGGGGGCTTGTGACCACCTTCTCCCTCCACTCTAAAAATAAAAGTTCAGGACCAGTCATAGTGAGGGCTGGTTGCGCATCTTACCCTGTGTCCTCTGGGGGATCTCACTGTCCCAGTCCTGAGCTCTTGGGGAAGATTGTCTGACTGACCTCACAGCAAAGGATGGGGATCAGGCCCTTTGGGGGGCTGTGAACAGCTTACCTGGGTCTCAGGGAAAGTGTGACGCCCATGGGACACCTGGGAGGAGCCCTGGTGACAAGTGTGGCTTCTGAAGTCCACCTTGGTGGGCTGATGCCTGGCCATTTGACTTTGGGTGCATTCCTTAAGCTCGGCATCCCACTGGGTGGCTGTTGTGTGCAGAGTGCCTGGTACGGGTTTAGCAAACGACTTAGGAGGTAACAGGAGACTCTGATGAGCATACAGATACCCGGGGGTGTCTATGATGATGCCCAGATTTCCAGCTTGGCTAGCACGGGTGGCTAGCGTTGCGTGGGTGGCAGCATCGCCAGCTGGAGTGGAAGAGGATGAGGATTTGAGCTTGGGCTGTGCAGGAGCCATGTGGGAGCATGGAGAAGCCAGTGGGACACTTGGAGGGAGGGGGTCTCAGGTTCCAGAGGCTGCTGTCTGCACACAGGTGGTGGTTAAAATAGACGCATGGGTAAAATCAACGGCAGATGTGAGTTCTCCATCCCCTAACTTTTTCTTTTGAAAAACTTCAAACTTACCAAAAAGTTGCAACAGTAGTACAGTGAATACCTATATAACCCTCACTTGGATTCACTGGGTTTTTTGTTTTTTGGAACAGCTTTATTGAGATAGAATTCACATACCATGCAGTTTATTTTAAGTGAATTACTCAGTGGTATTTAGTATATTCACAGGTACCCTGGGTGGCGCGAACAGATTACACTTGACTGCTAACCCAAGGGTTGGCAGTTCAAACTCACCCTTGGAAGAAAGGCCTAGTGATGATCTGCTTCTGTAAAGATTCCAAAACAAACCAAACCTGTTGCGATTGAGTCGATTGTGTCTCATAATGACCCTGTAGGACAGAGTAAAACTGCCCCATAGGGTTTCCTAGGCTGTATGTCGTCTTTACAGGAGCAGACTGTCACATCTTTCTCCTGTGGAACGACTGGTGGGTTCGAACCACAGATCTTTTGGTTAGCCTGAGCACTTTAACCATTATGCCACCAGGACTCCTTCCTGTAAAGATTACATCCAAGAAGACCCTATAGAGCACAGTTCTACTGTGACCTACATGGGGTCACCATGGGTAGTAATCAGCTTGATAACAACAGGTTTGGTTTTAGTTACATTCACAGTGTTGTGCAACCATCACCTCTGTCTGGTTCCAGAACGTTTTCATCATCCCCAGAGGAGACCCCGGACCCGTTACCAGTTATTCCCCACTCCCCCGCTCCACCCAGCCCTGAACCAAGAAAACCAAACCCGATGCCATTGAGTCAATTCCAACTCATAGTGACCCTGTAGGACAGAGTAGAACTGCCCCATAGAGTTTCCAAGGAGCAGCTGGTGGATTTGAACTGCCAGCCTTTTTGGTTAGCAGCCATAGCTTTTAACCACCACCACCAGGGTTTCCCCACCCAACCTTAGGCAACCATTAATCCACTTTCTGGCTCTATAGATTTGCCTGTTTGGGACATCTCATCGAAATGGAATCATACAATATAGATTGATAAGTTTTTTTATTTTTCACAGTTTTTAACTTTTTGGCACATTTGTGTACTGTCTCTCTCCGTCTTCATACGCACATAAATATACACACTTCTTTTTTCTTTTCTTATTCTTTTCTCCTACTTCTTTCTTCCTCTCTTTCTCCCTTACCCTCCAGCCTTTCTTCTTTCCCTCGTCCTCTTCTTCTTCCCTCTCTTCCTCCTCCCTTCCCCTAACGGATTTTTTTTTTTGTTGTTGTGCTTTAAGTGGAGGTTTACAATTCAAGTTAGTCTCTCATAGTTGATCTCCCTATACTGTGACAGCACGCTCCTTTCCACCCCTAATTTCCCATGTCCATTCAACCAGCTCCTGACCCTCTCTGCCGTCTCATCTTGCCTCTGGACAGGAGCTTCCCATTTAGTCTCATGTATCTACTTGAGCTAAGAAGCACACTCTTCACAAGTATCATTTTATGTCCCATAGTCCAGTCTAATCTTTGTCTGAAGAGTTGGCGTCAGGAATGGTTTTAGTTTTGAGCTAATACAGAGTCCGGGGGCTATGCCTTCCGGGGTCGCTCCAGTCTCAGTCAAACCATTAAGTCTGGTCTTTTTACTAGAATTTGAGTTCTGCACCCTGCTTTTCTCCTGCTCCATCAGGGACTCTCTGTTGTGTTCCCTGTCAGGGCAGTCACTGGTGGTAGCCAGGCACCATCTAGTTCTTCTGGTCTCAGGCTGATGAAGTCTCTGGTTTATGTGGCCCTTTCTGTCTCTTGGGCTAGTACTTTCCTTGTGTCTTTGGTGTTATTCATTCTCCTTTGCTCCAGGTGGGTTGGGACCAATTGATGCACCTTAGATGGCCGCTCACTAGCTTTTAAGACCCCAGACGCCACTTACCAAAGTGGGATGTAGAACATTTTCTTAATAAATTTTGTTATGCCAATTGACCTAGATGTCCCTTGAAAGCATGGTTCCCAGACCCCCACCTCTGCTACTCTGTCCCTCAAAGTGGTTGTATTCAGGAAACTTCTTAGCTTTTGCTTTAGTTCAGTTGTGCTGACTTCCCCTGTAGTGTGTGTTGTCCTTCCCTTCACCTAAGATAATTCTTGTCTACTATCCAGTTAGTGAACACACCTCTCCCTCCCTCCCTACCCTCATAACCATCAAAGAATGTTTTCTTCTGTGTTTAAACCTTTTCTGAGTTCTTGTAATAGTGGTCTTATACAATATTTGTCCTTTTGTGACTGACTAAATTCACTCAGCATAATGCCTTCCAGATTCCTTCATGTTATAAGATGTTTCATGGATTCATCGTTATTCTGTATTGTTGCGTAGTATTCCACTGTGTGAATGAATATACCGTAATTTGTTTATCCATTCGTCCATTGATGGGCACCTAGGTTGTTTCCATCTTTTTGATATTGTGAACAGTGCTGCAGTAAATATGGGTGTGCATATATCTATTTGTGTGATGGCTCTTATTTTTCTAGGATACATTCCAAAGAGTGGGATTGCTGGATTGTATGGTAGTTTTAGCTTTTTAAGGAAGCACCAAATCAATTTCCAAAGTTGTACATTTTACGTTTCCACCGACAGTGTATAAGTGTTTCACAGCCTCTCCAACATTTTATTATTTTGTGTTTTTTTGGGTTAATGCTAGCCTTGTTGGTGGAGATGGTATCTCATTGTAGTTTTGATTTGCATTTCTCTAATGGCTAATGATTGTGAGCATTTCCTCCTGTGTCTGTTAGCCGCCTGAATGTCTTCTTTGGTGAGGAGCCTGTTCATATCCTTTGCACATTTTTTAATTGGGTTATTTGTCTTTTTGTTGTTAATGTGTTACAGTATCTTATAGATTTTAGAGATTAGACGCTGATCGGATTTGACGTCGCCAAAATTTTTCTCCCGGTTTGTAGGTTGTCTTTTACTCTTTTGGTGAAGTCTTTTGATGAGCATAAGTGTTTGATTTTTAGGAGCTCCCAGTTATCTAGTCTCTCTTCTGGTGCTTGTGCATTGTTACTTATGGTTCGTATTGTGTTTATGCCATGTATTAGGGCTCCTAGCGTTGTTCCTACTTTCTCTTCCATGTCCCTATATTTTCTTCCATGATCTTTATTGTTTTAGATTTTATATTTAGGTCTTTGATCCATTTTGAGTTAGTTTTTGTGCATAGTGTGAGGTATGGGTCTTGTTTCAGTTTTTTGCAGATGGATATCCAGTGATACCAGCACCATTTGTTAAAGAGACTGTCTTTTCCCTGGTTAACGGACTTTGGGCCTTTGTCAAATATCAGCTGCTCATAGGTG